TTCAAGAAGAGCCATGTTTTTCTATCCTTTGAGACTGTGGAAGATTATTTTGGTCCCTTCTGAAAGATACTCATTCTGTAGAGAGATTTTCCTGAAAGTGACTTACTTATGCTTTGTCTGTATATTAGAATATGAAGGGCTGAATTTCCATCCCTATTAATTTCTTTTGTGGTCCCAAATTTTCCTATGTTTAAAGCCAATGGCGAACATTACAGCAAAACGGCACAAAAAAAATCTATTTTCAAGTCAGTGTGGCTGACTGCTGTATCCTAACAGGTACTTGACATTTAAATGTTAAGGACGCTTAAAGAGTCTTAGTTACTTCGAACAGCAACCCTGGTGAGGGTAGTTATGTATTATAAGCTGACATCACTTTCCCTCTGATAAAGCTGAGTTCCAAGATTCAGTGCTATCCTGCTGTAAGTGTTTGGTAGAGATGTATCCGCAAGCTTCTGGAACCCCATGTAATTCTAGAGTTTGACTCCTCAGATGCTAGAGATATTAAACCAAGACCAACAAAACCAAAATAAAATGACAACCAAACACGGACTGCTCATTTCATCTACGATTTCTTTGGACCTAACACAAGTACAACAGAATTGGTTCTCTGTAATTTAGAGCCAGTTGCTTTAGAAAAGCGTCTTAAAGTTCAAAGTGCATTTGAAGCCTGCTTCTGTTGTCTTAGTGGGCATAGATAAGCTGAAGTAAAATCAAATCAGTGGGGTGGGTGCCTACTAATATGGCAAGATTCCCCAGATTTTATTTATGACCACCTATTTCTTCACGCTAACGGGAGGATTACTAAGAAGTTCATGCGTTTTTTCCTAAATTCCTCCTTTTACATTTCTGGGCTCCATGCACAAGCCTACTCCTCTGGACACATTGATCATCTGCAAGCAGGGGAAATTTCTAAATCCAGTTCTTAGTTGGCAATTAAGAATAGGATGTGACATAACAACTGGGTTTCACTGTGGGCCTGAGCTTTTTCCAGTTGGCTTTATGGAAACGGTTGAAAGGGATGATACCAGAGCTTGTTTTTTTCTTTAGGGAGTTAGTGGGCAATTTGTTTTTGAAACTCACATTGTGAGAACCAAAGTGTCCTTTTTGTCATGAATGATTCATGCAAGACAAACAAATAATACAAACCAGCAACAGGCCTGTCATTCTTGCTTTATGTACAGCTGAAGGATGTCTTTCTAGGGTGTTCTTTTTTCCTGGGGTGGGATGTTCTACTGTGCCAGAATAAAATTTCTGGTACACTTGATATGTGTTGTGTCACACATACGAACAAGTACTTTTTGTGTGATTAGTATGTTCAACCATTCCTATGTGGCAAAGAGAAGATTAAGTGTAACCAAGGTTGGGGACTTGCTCAAGGTTCTATGGCTATGAAGTGAGACAGGTCAGCTAGGGTCCAGGTCTGTCTGATGCTAAATGATTATACCCTTCCTTGAGCCAGCTAGTGATTGATGACTTTTGTAACAAGGTGAACTTGGTGGTAAACGTTACTCCTTAATCTAAGGGAAAAATGACTTCATCCTTTCCTTTTTGTTGTTGTTGTTGAGGAGTGTTTAGGTTGAGGCAATGTATTAATGTGCCCTTGTTCTTTCCTCCAGAGCATCTCTCAATTTGGCATTTCTGTTTATCTCTCATTGTGCTCCTTTTCTTATTCTTCCTCTACACAAAGGCACGAGATTTACTAAACTATCTGCCATTTGTTCAAAGAATGTTCCGATGCCTTGTTTTTCTCAGTGTGTGTGCGTCTGTGGACCTGTGGAGACATTCCATATCAAAACCATTCTGATGACGCTGCTGTTAGCACTTTAAAGCCTGAGAAATACCACTTTTAGGCAAAAAAAATTATTTTTCAAACACCTGTGATACTTTTGTCTTAGAATGTTCTCCTTTGAAAGTCAGGGAGCTGCAGTGAATGTAATTGAAGGGCATCAGTTGCTTGGGATGGTCTACCATTTTGGGGGGGCAGGGCAAGATCACAACTTTAGAGGCATTGACAGATTTGGGTGATTCACTTGCATTTGCCACTTGAATGGTAAGTGACTTAGCAAATTATCAACTGAGTCCATTTTGCCCACGAAATGGTGGAATGATTATAGCTATCTCATTGAGTTCTGGTGATATTTGAAGAAAATCGTGTTTGCAACTTGATGTGTCTTACAACCCCTTCACTCTCTTCCCATCCTTTGAATGGGAAATTGGACTGAGGGTTTAAAGTGGGTCAGGAGAGGGGAGTGTTCCTAGAAGTGTTAAAGTGGTTGAACAGGTTTGTTTGCTTGGGAAAGTTAGTTATAGTGCTCTGCATTCATGATCATTTTCATTCATTCACCAAACAGACCTTGAACTCTGGCCATGTGCCATGTGGGTCTAGTGTTCAGTTCGGTGTGCTCCTAAAGCTAATGTCATCATTGCTGTTTTCACAGTGAGTTTATTGGCTTTTTTGTTTGCATACAGTCATTATCAACTCATGGAAGCTCTTCAGATCTGACATCTTCATTTTATTTTCTCTTCAAGAAATGCCCTATGTCCTCATGACTGAGGTGATTTCCTATTTTCAGTGCCCCTAAATATTGAGTCATTGGCTGACCCCATAGGCTTGCTCAGGGACAGGTCTTATCATTTGCTGCTCTGCCTCAGAGGATCATATCTGATGAAATCGTGGGACATTCTGTTTGACCAAAACATATAATTTCACTCCTTTAGGAGCCAGATGGCCACATGAAAAAAGCTTGGACTTTTGTTCACAGAAATTCTTGGGTTTGAATACTGATGCTACCACTTACCAGCCAGGTGTTTGGGGACATTTTACCTAAATGGTCTCATCCTAAACATCCTCTGTGTGCTGAATGCAATAATGATACCAACCTTGTTGTAATTGCTGTGATGACTAGAAAGAGGTGTCTAAAGCATGGATCACAGAACCTGGCACAATAGAAATGCTCAGCAGATCGAACCATTTAAAAAAAAAAACATTTTTCTGCATGCTCTTCTCTTATTGCCAAAGGATATCCAATGATTGCAAAAAATTTAGAAAAGCTGGTTGATCTAAATGAGCAAAAGAAAAATCGAGCATTTTCTTAAGACCCAGAGATTCCCAATGGTACCATTGACCATAGAGCCTTTCAATATGTCTGTCTGTCTGTCTGCCTCTTTCTGTTTTTTTCGTGCTCTCTCTTCTCCCCTCCTTCCCAGATATTAGGTTTAGCCATATACAGTTGCTGATATTTGGCCTCTTTTAAACCTAAGTCAATAGTAGTTTCATCTGGTTCATTCTAATATATCACTAAAATTGGATCGTGTGGTGCCTATCATTTTTTTTTTAAGATTTTATTTATTTATTTGAGAGAGAGAGAATGAGAGACAGAGAGCACGAGAGGGAAGAGGGCAGAGGGAGAAGCAGACCCCCTGCTGAGCAGGGAGCCCGATGCGGGACTCGATCCCGGGACTCCAGGATCATGACCCGAGCCAAAGGCAGTCGCCCAACCAACTGAGCCACCCAGGCGCCCTGCCTATCATTTTTAATCTACTTTTTGCAATTAAGATATTGTTAACATCTTTCAAGTTCATTAAATATTCTTCTCTAATATCACTTTTAGTTGATGCATAATATTCCATTACGTGATTATACCAATTTCTTTTTACCTATCTTCTATTACTAGAAAATTAGATTTTGTCAATTTTGTTACTATCAACAGTACTGGGATAAACATCATGATAGCTTTGGAGGGAGTAAAATATAGTGGTTTAAAAAACAGACTGAAGACAGGAGGTCTGGCTTCACTGCTTACTGCCCATGTACCACCTGGATCTCCGTTTCTTCATCCATAAAATAGGGACTACCATAGTACCTACTTCACAGGGCCATTGCGAGAGTTCGTCTATCTCCAGGCTTAGATGGGTGTCTATGGGCACACTGTAAATATTTTTAATGAGTGAACTATTGTGAATTGTTACTGTGTTTACACCCATATGTTTATTTGTGTTGGAAAAATTTCTGAAGAGGAATTTATGACTAAAGAGCTTTTGATAATCCATTCCAGATTAAGGTCTAAAACAGACGTGGTTATCTGCTCTCCCATAGATGAGCATCAAAGTCCTGGTTTTCATGAAAAGAGAGAGGTTATCACCATCCCTGTAAATATCAGGCTCATCATTGTTGGTACCCTACTTCCTGACTGAGGGTGCACAGTTTTTTCCCAGTTTAATATCCCTGAAATCAGAACGCTTCTAACCATCAGAGTCTACTGGGTGGCTGCCATGACATGGGGTGAAAACTTCTGTCGACAACGATTGAGATCAAGAAAGGCTGTCAGTGTGTCTTAACACCTGTAAGTTCAAGTTTATTTGATAGGGAACAAAGCAAATATATATAAAAAAAGATGAGTTTCATGGAAAATATATACTGATGTCTTTTTCAGAAAGCATCTCAGATTGGGTCTGAAAAAAAAATGTACCTGAGGGACAGAGAAGCTCTGGGCTGAGCTTGGAAGACTGGGGAGAACTGATGGAGGGAGAGGGCATCTCTCCATGTCTACTTATTTCTATACTTACTTCTTTTGTTGTGCACAGGAAGATGATAGTGGCCATGATGCAATAGAAGAAGGCGTTCATGGGCATTTGCTATTTCAAAGCCTTGTGACTGTTTTATGTATCATTCTCTCTGAATACAGTACCTCCTGCAGGTTCCCCCCTCCGCTTTCCATTTCCCCTCTTTCTATATACAAATCCTCCACCCTTTACCTAAATAGGGCACACTCTGTCTTTAGGTCTCAGCCTAGACATCATTTTAGCTGGAGAGCCTTTCATAATTCAGCAACACTGGTTAGGGGTCCTCCCTGTATTTTCTGTCATACTGTCCATATCCTTACCCTACTGCTTATCGCAGGGTATTTTATTGTCTAATAACTTAAGGCCTCTGCTGATGACCTATAAGCTTCTAGAAGCAGGCGTTCTACCATTCTCCTTTGAACTCTAAGCCTAGTACCATGGTTGGCACATGGCGGGCCCTTGAGAGATATAAATTGAGTGAATTTCAGTACTCAGCCCATAGATGTAACCTGTGGTTCCTGGTGTCCCTGGAAGTTGTAGCTGTAAGAGTGAGCGCGTTGTCTTGCGAGGATCCAATGCTCCAGTAGTTGTCACTGACGGTTGGAGCATGGACTCTATACTTCTCATATTACACAGTAGTTTAACCTTCCTTTTATTTCCATCGTCTTGTGAGAGCTTATTAGGGCACTCTATCTGTGCTGCCTGAGACCCTCATTAAGCTGCCCCCTGAAAGAGCTGCATGAATCTGTGTATACTGTGTCTGGAGCCCATTTCTAGCTGTTAACACATCTCAACAAGAAATGAAACCAGAAGCTGAAAATGAGTCCCTTATGAGCATTAGGGTTCTTTTCAGTTTCATCTGAAACAAAAGTTGGTTCCTATACCCTTTCCTATTAGAGTATTCCAGCTATTGCCATATTAATGTTAATTACTTTTTTTTTTTTAAGTTGTCAGTGACAGTAACCAACCCAGTCACTTTTTCTTCAGGAGTGAACCGCTTGCCCCTTGAGATTAGAGTGAGGTATTAAGTAAAAGTTGTGAAATGATTTGACTTTAGAGTCTCCAAACTGTCTTTCCAATCACAGTACATGAATTCAGGATAACTGGTCAAACTTGGTGTTCAAAAGGAACAAATTCTGCCTCTAGTCTAGACGGTCAAAATACCCTTGTGTTTGGAGAAATCAGGCTTTTGTGTGATAAGCTATAAAAATGGATGTGTTGCAGTAGTTAAATATGACAAAGAAGAAAGGAAAGGAAGTCCCAGTGATGCCTAAATTCAAGCCAGGCTTCCGTGTCCCACTTGTTCTACTTCCTGCTTATTTGTCTGTACACTTTTGTATGTGGATTTTTCCCTCAGCACAACTTATGTTGATGCCCAGTATTCACATTGTGAGGCCCATGTATCAGTGGCATGTTAGGGAAACACAGCCCCAAGGAGAGACGCTGTCACTTCAAAGCATGCCACAGTGCTTAGATAGAACCAGGAAATTAACCATGTCGGCATGATAATATTTCCTTAAAAGCCTGAAACGCTTTCTTTGATGCCAAGAGTTATCAGTTTCTGCTATGAACTTGTTTCTGTCATGAGGAGGCGTCTTAAGGGTTTTTGGGTTTTTTTTGTCTTTTGTATTTATCTCACCCCCCAAAAATAGAAGTGGTCTCTGCCTGAATGCTCTTCTGAGAGAGAAATTGTTGAATGCAATGTGGAAATTTGGCACAGGAAGAAGAGAGACCAGTTCTGTCCCCTCAGTACCTTGACTTCTTCCTACCACTTTCCTGATGTTGTAAAACATATTCTATAAAATGTGTGTGCTCCAGCCCACCCTTATCCCAGTGTCACAGTGGGGAAAAAGAACTCTAATCCATCATGGTTGTTGCTTTCTAAATGCTTCTGACACAATCTGGATGTCCTTATCAAGGTAGTTTTATTAGCTAGGATTGTGTTTTGTGTTGATCAGTTAATCTTCCATGATACATTAAGAAAAAAATGAATATTTCATTCAGTATCTGAGGTTCCCAGAAGCTGAGAGGAATATGAAAACTTTAGGGAGGGTTCAGCAAAGAAAACAAGTGAAATTGAACAGACTTTTAAAAATTAAGTAAAAATATTGAGTGTTGGAGTATTTAGCCTGCAAAGAGCAGGGTCAAGAATGCATTCATGTTTCAGGAATAAGATCACTTATAGTACAGACAACAGTGATGAACCACATCAGATATACCATGATGAGCACAGGAGAAAAAAGGATCAGATTCTAAGATAACGGATTTGGCTTACATGGAATGAAGATTTTCCTTACTCTTAGGCTTGATGAACCAGGGAACAAGTTACAAAGGACTATGTAACTTACTTGGGTGTACCTTAAAAACAGGAGAAATTCTTCTCTACCTGGGTTACCTGAGGGCATTTAAAGAAGCATACAGTGTAAGTTTTTATTTTTAAAGAATAGATCCTAGACTGGAAGAGTTGTAATTGAAAAAAAATTCTTTGACCATATCCATAGGCAATAAAGAAGCAACTATATGAATAACAATTAGGCTTAAATCTCAAACTACTACCTAATCTTATTCTGTGAAAGAAGATTGTGAGTTCTTAGGTAATTGTTTTCTTCATCTGCTTTAGGTTCCATAATCCTCTCATTGTTTTTAATTGTGTTAAAGTATGTTTATTAAAGTACTAATGAGAACAAAGCCATACTGATTAAAAACAAAATTATTCATTTAAACCTTTTGATATTATGAAATGGAAGGTAGGTTCTACTGTTGGAAGATGAATCCTGCATGTCTAATAAGTTGTTTGCTGTGTGCCTGGTTTTGTTTCTTTTTTCTTTTTTTTTCAACAGTTTATCCTAGATCTGTTGAAGTTACTGAATTTTTATGACGTGAAACTGGTTTTTAAATCATAAAAGCAGTTTATCCTAAGAGCTCCAGGCAGAGCGCATCTTCCCTAGTGATTTTTATAGCATCTAATTAATAAATAAATATGCAGCTGGCTAGGCAATGAATATTAAGAGTTGGTTTTGCTTATCATCACCCTTTATAATTTTTAGAGTGTTTGGGACTGAGGATTTTTCCTTTCCTGCTCCCCTCTTCCTGCTCATCAACTTGAATTACAGCCACTCTTCCTTTTCTTTGGAACTATACTTTTAAATCTGTCTCTCCAGTGCTGTTTTCTGTTACTGTCTTACTGGTTTCATATGCTTGTTGTCGGGTTTTTTTTTTGTTTGTTTTGTTTTGTTTTGTTTTGTTTTGGGGGGAGAGAGAGTGCTTGAGTTCCTGCATGTGTGAGCCAGTTAGTGGGAGGGGTGGGGGGGAGCAGCGAGAGAGAGGGAGAGGAAGGGCAGAGCCCCACACAGGGCTGGATCTCACACCCCTGAAATCATGCCTAGTGTCGTTTTTTCTTTGCTGTCCATTTTCAGTTTCATGTTTGTCTTATTTTTTAAGGAAGTCAGTGAGTTTCGGGTTCGACTCACTTACTTTCCGTCTTTTCTGATTACCTCCCAATCCATGCATCTTTTGACTGATACCTTGAAAGCAGATCAGCACTTTTGCTTTGGATTGCTCTGGCCTAGACCTATAGCAGGGTCCGTCCGCTTCACAGTAGGTCAGCCTGTCGGACCCCTCTTGGTCTTCACCATCACTGCCCAGAGGCCAGATCCCTGAATCTCACTTACTTCCTTATCTGCTGCCATTCTTCTTGCCCTGTCCCCCTGCCTCTCATTGTGAGCTCCTTCCTGCCCCTTCCTCAGACTGTAGCCTCAGATTTTAAACAGTGTCTCTCACTGTTTAAAATCCTTTACGACCAATTCCTTATTCACCTTGCATTCAAGATGCAATCCAACTCCTCAGTGTGCATTAAAGCCCGTGCCTGAGCTGAACCTTCCCTTCTGGGGATCTGGCCTCCCTCTCCCCCTGCACTACTTACATCCTCCCATAGCCACATCAGACTCAACACTCCAGGGGCAGAAAACAGGCTAAGCAAAGGCATGAAGCTGGAAAATGTGGCCCTGCTTCAGCAATGGAATGACTGACAGTGGCCCATTTAGTGCTGATCACGTTTATGAGGCATTGTCCTGGGCTGGTGCAGAGCCCCGCTGTCCAGCTACGGAATGGTGATGAAGGGATCATCAAGCCCTTCTTGTCAAGAGCAGAGGAAAGCTGGTTCTGAAGAGCTTGCCATTGCCCACATCCCTACTCTGATGTCCCCTATTGTTTCTCCCCCTTTCAGCCTGTGATGGTGATCACTGGGGACCCCACTGCAGCAGCCGATGCCAGTGCAAAAATGGGGCTCTGTGCAACCCCATCACGGGGGCTTGCCACTGCGCCGCAGGCTTCCGGGGCTGGCGTTGCGAGGACCGCTGTGAGCAGGGCACCTACGGTAATGACTGTCACCAGAGATGCCAGTGTCAGAATGGAGCCACCTGCGACCACATCACGGGGGGATGCCGCTGTCCACCAGGCTACACTGGAGCCTTGTAAGTGACATGCTGCTGAGCAGCGTGGCAACGTCCGCTCACCTTCTCCATTCATGTTGCTGCCCCCATCATATTCCTGTTCCTATTGCTGCCTGAAGTCACTGAAAGGGCGGGGCTCTGGGCACAGAGCGGGGAGATCAGCAGTGACAGCCCCGAGATGCTCCTGCTGTTTGGCTCTCGAACCTCAGACTCCAGCCGGAGTCTAAGGTCCAGCTTCCATGCTTTCCTTTGAGCAGGGCAGGGATAGAGAGGACCAGACTGTTGCATTGAGTGCTAATACTGGGGGGTTGTGGGGGCAGATTTGATGTTCTGCTTCAGTTGCCCCGCAGTTGCATTTATTGTTAGTGGTCCATGTTGTTCTGCTCTGTGTGGTGACTATTTAGCTGGATAAAGCTGGGTGGGTTCAGTGCCATACAAAAAAGAAAAAAAGGAAGATGTTAGAGACAGTCCGTGGTAAAAGGTTAACTGGGTTATTTAATGACTGTGGATACATACGTTGCTTTGGGACAGTAAAAGAAATGTATCACATCTGTGTAGGATATGTGCACGCAGATAGTTTAATTCTTTCTGGATACAACTGAAGCAACTTCTTAACCTCCACTACTTTATTTTGTGTGAAGGACATTGTTCAGTTGGCTTGTATTAGCAAACAGAGTAAGAGGCAGAATTTGCCAAAAAAAAAAAAAGGAAATAGAAAAATCTTGTTCCCTTACTGAGAAAATTACACTTGTAAATCACAGAACTAAAACTTGAAAAAATGCGGCTGATTAAGTAAATACTTCCTGCCAACAGTATTAACAGCTATAAAGTAGAGCTAAAAAAAAAAAACTGCATTAGCCTAGAAAGTCCTCATTTTCAGAAGAATGAATGGTCATCTCAAACTACTTAATTGTTAATATTGCTTTTATGGGTTTTTATCAAGGCCACAATTGAATAGGGCTTTGGAAAACTTGGAGCAGTTTTACGGGAGCACAAACAAGACAATTAAAGGCTTAGAGAAGAAGGTTCATTCATAGGAAAAGGGTGGGGGCTAAGGGCATGGAAAATGATGAGCGTCAAGAAGAGAATGTTGAAAATTGATTATGAAGAATATATGTACAAAGCAGGGGATGTGCAAACGTTTCAGTCTCCTCTGAGGCTGGAACAAACCCACCAGCAAAAGCAGACTTCAGACGTAACACAGGAGCTTTATAATAGTTACATGGAAAATTCCTGTCACCAAGGAGTGTTTGGCTGAGAAGAGTCATCCTTGGTGCTCTCAGATAGGACACATTCTCTTCAAATTGAAATAGTTTCATTAGAAAATACCCCAAAAGAAAGGAAAGATTTAGACCACCCCTCAAAGACCTTTCTAGCCAATGTGACTAATGCTTTGATGTTAATGAAATCAAGAATGTTGAGCAGAGAAAGCTGTCTGTTTTAGGGCCCCGGGTGCTGTTGTGTCTGTGAACCTGAGGGTCGTGTGGCTGGGTAAATAACGATATCCTTTGTCACACATCAACTCCTCAGCTGTGAGGATCTTTGTCCCCCTGGCAAGCATGGTCCACAGTGCGAGCAGAGATGTCCCTGTCAAAATGGAGGAATCTGTCATCACGTCACTGGAGAATGCTCTTGTCCTGCCGGCTGGCTGGTAAGCTCCCTTCCTCCCCTCCCAAAGTCACCTATTCCAGGATGCTCAAGTGAAAACACACTTGGAAGACTTTAGCACAAAGGAAAGTTACACTGATGGTTAAAGATTGCAAAATTGGAGGTGGCTGACCGTTTTCAAAGCTGGTGTCCTTCAGTCCATCTTCAGGCAGAAGGCAATTAAATCTTGACGTGCACTAAGGGTCCTCATGGAAAACATAGCGGCCATCTGTCCTGCACTTTCCCTCAGGAAAAAAAAAAAGGGAAATACTTCATCACATGTATGACAGACAATGCTGTCAAATACTGGAAGTTTCTAAATATAGGTGTACCTCGGAGATACTTTGGGTTTGGTTCCAGAGCTCTGCAATAAAGTGAATATCACAATAAAGTGAGTCAAATGAATTTTTTGGTTTCCTCCTACACATAAACGTTGTTTTGTACTGTAGTCTATGAAGAGTATAATGACATTATGTCTAAAAAACCAGTGTACATACCAAAACAATTACAGTGTTAACATCAGAGATCACAACGAACATAATAATAGTGAAGATGCTTTGCAAATATCGCAAGGATTACCAAAATACGACTCAGATACACGAAAGGAATAAATGTTGTTAGAAAAATGGCACTAGTGGACATGCTCAATGCAGGATTGTCACAGACCTTCAATTTATTTAAAAAACAATATATCTGCGAAACACAATAAAGCAAAGCAGAATAAAGTGAAATATGTCTATAATTATATTGTTTATATAATTAAGTTCCACAGATCACTATTGTTCTTTGAGAACATTATTCTCAACAGAATAAGTGTTATGTGAAAATTATCTGGTCATGTACATCCAGAGACACATTGAGGTGAACCCATTTACCGAATATTGCAGAGCTTCTCAAAGCGTTTAGTGTGACAATCCAAGAGGAGCTGGAACTCACCACATTTCCCAAACTTTGACCATGTCACACTTTCTTCATGTAGTGTGTCACAGGCTTCATGTTACGTGACACACTCAATGTCAAAGCTCGTTTGCTAACCAGATTTCTCCGAAACCTGGGAATGATACTGATCCTTACCTGCATTGGTTTGTACGTACGTGTGCTTAAAGGCACAAAAGTGAATGACCAATGTCTGTTTCCTTTGTTAACAAATAAAATTTAAGAGAGCAATTTACTTCACTATCACCTGCTATCTCCAGGAGCTGTAGTGAAGCTGAGTTTGTAGGATCATAACAGACTTCCTAATTACCAAATCCAGTAATGACCCTTCTGTTCTCATGCTGCTTGATTTCACCAAAGCATACGACCCCATTGCTCATCCACCTCCCTCTTTCATAATCTTTTTGTCCATGTCTCTGCTAACCCTCTACCTCTGTTACTGAAGATCTCTTTTCCTAACCCCCTTCTACATACTGCTTTATTACAGTATTTCCTAGGTTTCAGTCTTCTTCTTCTTCTCTTTTCTCACTATAAATCCAGTCTGGAAATCTCACCCAGATCCATGGCTTTAATGGTCATCCTGTGATTTTTCTAAATCTTGACCTTCCCTCACCTGAGCCCAGACATGTATTTGTCAATATCCTGTTAGACTCTCATCCTACATGACCTGTAGACATGAAGCCACCCTCTGATGGGGCTACACCCAAGCTGGAGCCTTAGGAGCCAGCTCTGGGATGGACTGGGTCTGCTAATGTCCTTGTTGTAGTCCTGAAGCAAAGGAGAACTGGAGTCCATTTCCCAGTGAGAATCATGGGAAGAAAGGGAGAACTCAAGATGTGAAGGCCACAGAGACAAGTAGAAAAGAAATATCAGACCCAAGGTGAGAGTTAGAAAGGTAAGCAGATGAGACAAGATCTGGCTCGAGAGGCAGAGCCTGGAGAAACTCCATGAAGCAATGGAGTCAGAGTGAGGGGGCCTTTTATTGAGTGCCTCATGAGGGGGTGAACAAGGGAGCTGTTGAGGAATGCAAGCCCATCAAAGTCAGTGTTAACAGAAGCAAACTTGTCATACACCCAAGCTTCTCTTAAGGTACTCCTTTTTGGATTTTTAAAAATCTTAGTTAAAACCAGCATTTCTTTCTTAGTTGCTTGAAATAGTGAATTATCTTTGACTCCTTCTCTTCTTCATTTCTTGTGTGCAGCCTTTTGCCATGTTGGCCATTGTTTGGTCCTTGGCAAGGGAAGGATTTTGTTGGGGCATCAGAGTGTCCAGAGTATCCAGAGAGCTCCATGTTGTTTGGATGAAGAGCTGTAGGCATTCCACTCTTAGTACTATTGTATAGACATTGTCGGTAGAGTTGCCTCATCTTGAGACTGAAGGTTTCTTCTTGATTGGGGTGGTTATGATGTAGGATAGTGGCAATCACAGGTTTGGATCGTGAGTTCCAGCAACTGGGTGGAAGGATCCATCAGCCAAATGGAGCCTCCCCTCCACCACTTTCTCTATACTCTGGGCCCCCTACCTTGACAGAAGTTTCTTATTGAATGCTTCAGGTCATTTCTCAATCTGCATAGCTTAGCTTCTAACTTATACTTCTTTCTACAGCATTCTATTTGTGCTGTCTCTCTAGGTGCTTTTCAAAGATGAATATATATTCCTTTTACACATACACACGCATGTATTACAACTCACAAGAACAATGTCTTATTTAAAGCTATTTGCTCACATTAATCTTCATTCATAAACAATATTTCAACAGCATCTCTGAAGCTGATGTGGGACCATTATAAATGTGGCTAGAGTCAGTCCCTGAGAGAATACGAATTTTCCACCCAAACTCCTGCTTACCACAAATTGACCCTTGGCATACTATTTTTTCAGGCATCTTGGTAGTTGTACTAGAATGGAGGGATTAGAGCTATTTTTGCATCTATTTCCCCCACCACATTGTGAACAAATTAAAGGTTGTGACCTTATCTTTGATTCTCAGAGCTTAGCTCTATGCCTGACACATAGATGATTTTCAGTGAGGCATTGATTTGAATCATCTCTCAAAGGCTTTTTCGGTTCCAAGAGTCTGTGGAAGAACTTTCCCTGTTTGTAGATAGCTAGAAACCACCAGAGGAGACTTAATTAGCACACCAACTGCCTTTGTGGGTAGCCAGGAGTTAGAGGAAATGTATTTTCTTATGCTATCCAGAATAAACATTTACAAAACCATCTGGTGTTCGCTAGCCTCCAATTTCAGAGTGCCCACAGTCTGCCTTTTTTTAGAGAGAAGGAGGACAAAGCAACAGCTTGCAACAGTTAAAAAAACAGTTTAAAAATCCCTGTTATTTGGGATATGTTGTTTGTGCTAACAATAACTCCAATAAACAGATGATAAACTACAAGCCCAAGTTATATAGCCAAGTGAAGTAGAAAATCATAGAGTATTTCATTGACTTATTGGTACTTATTCTTATAAACATAGGATTGGAATAAATATAATGACAGTGCCTGACAAGATGGGCAGCCTCTAGGGTGAGGAGACATGTCCAAGTTACTCTCTTGATTTTTCTTCCCAAGAAATAAGCTTTCCTATTGATCTTGGCCCAGCAATATTTGTTCAACCTGCTGAAAATAAAAGTGTTTTTCTTCTGAAATAAAATATCTAGGTTCATTCTTACAGGACTACTGTCTTATGTGATGTTACTGTTAATTCAGGTACACAAAATTTCCATCTCATGCTCCATTATGCCTTATAAGAAATAAAACCAATGATAATGTATATTTTCTTTAGAACATATGGTAAAGCATTTGGATATTCCATTTGCACCAGATGTTGCCATTTCTGTAATGGATGTTCAATAAGTATTGTTGGCTTATTGTACATGTAAGGACACACGGAAGAACACTTAGGAGGATTTATAAATTCCTCAGGTTACCATAATAATTTCATGTAACTTTATCTTAAACTTCAGTTTTTTGTTTTTTTTTTTTAAAGAAGAATAAAGGTTTTCTCTCAGCCACTGAATAATATTACTATCAACAGTGCTGGGTGGTTGTCCACAGTGACTGTTGGCACTCTGTCAACTCTCCAGTGGGGTTTTTGACATGTGAAGGACATGAGGTTTTAGTGCTTTCAGAGGATCTGGAAAATACATTTTTATTGTTCTTCTTCATGGATGGAGAAGCTTTACAAAGTTGTTTTATTTTTAAAGCACTTGATGTTTTGAATGAGGATCTTTTCTTCTACATTAACAAAGGGAATGACACACCAACGCCTTGTTAGCCTGAAGCACAAGGAATGAAATCACAGGGAGATAAAAGACCCTGAGGGCACCAAAGCTTAGGAAGAAAGGGTGTATATTTCAAGAAGAGCCATGTTTTTCTATCCTTTGAGACTGTGGAAGATTATTTTGGTCCCTTCTGAAAGATACTCATTCTGTAGAGAGATTTTCCTGAAAGTGACTTACTTATGCTTTGTCTGTATATTAGAATATGAAGGGCTGAATTTCCATCCCTATTAATTTCTTTTGTGGTCCCAAATTTTCCTATGTTTAAAGCCAATGGCGAACATTACAGCAAAACGGCACAAAAAAAATCTATTTTCAAGTCAGTGTGGCTGACTGCTGTATCCTAACAGGTACTTGACATTTAAATGTTAAGGACGCTTAAAGAGTCTTAGTTACTTCGAACAGCAACCCTGGTGAGGGTAGTTATGTATTATAAGCTGACATCACTTTCCCTCTGATAAAGCTGAGTTCCAAGATTCAGTGCTATCCTGCTGTAAGTGTTTGGTAGAGATGTATCCGCAAGCTTCTGGAACCCCATGTAATTCTAGAGTTTGACTCCTCAGATGCTAGAGATATTAAACCAAGACCAACAAAACCAAAATAAAATGACAACCAAACACGGACTGCTCATTTCATCTACGATTTCTTTGGACCTAACACAAGTACAACAGAATTGGTTCTCTGTAATTTAGAGCCAGTTGCTTTAGAAAAGCGTCTTAAAGTTCAAAGTGCATTTGAAGCCTGCTTCTGTTGTCTTAGTGGGCATAGATAAGCTGAAGTAAAATCAAATCAGTGGGGTGGGTGCCTACTAATATGGCAAGATTCCCCAGATTTTATTTATGACCACCTATTTCTTCACGCTAACGGGAGGATTACTAAGAAGTTCATGCGTTTTTTCCTAAATTCCTCCTTTTACATTTCTGGGCTCCATGCACAAGCCTACTCCTCTGGACACATTGATCATCTGCAAGCAGGGGAAATTTCTAAATCCAGTTCTTAGTTGGCAATTAAGAACAGGATGTGACATAACAACTGGGTTTCACTGTGGGCCTGAGCTTTTTCCAGTTGGCTTTATGGAAACGGTTGAAAGGGATGATACCAGAGCTTGTTTTTTTCTTTAGGGAGTTAGTGGGCAATTTGTTTTTGAAACTCACATTGTGAGAACCAAAGTGTCCTTTTTGTCATGAATGATTCATGCAAGACAAACAAATAATACAAACCAGCAACAGGCCTGTCATTCTTGCTTTATGTACAGCTGAAGGATGTCTTTCTAGGGTGTTCTTTTTTCCTGGGGTGGGATGTTCTACTGTGCCAGAATAAAATTTCTGGTACACTTGATATGTGTTGTGTCACACATACGAACAAGTACTTTTTGTGTGATTAGTATGTTCAACCATTCCTATGTGGCAAAGAGAAGATTAAGTGTAACCAAGGTTGGGGACTTGCTCAAGGTTCTATGGCTATGAAGTGAGACAGGTCAGCTAGGGTCCAGGTCTGTCTGATGCTAAATGATTATACCCTTCCTTGAGCCAGCTAGTGATTGATGACTTTTGTAACAAGGTGAACTTGATGGTAAACGTTACTCCTTAATCTAAGGGAAAAATGACTTCATCCTTTCCTTTTTGTTGTTGTTGTTGAGGAGTGTTTAGGTTGAGGCAATGTATTAATGTGCCCTTGTTCTTTCCTCCAGAGCATCTCTCAATTTGGCATTTCTGTTTATCTCTCATTGTGCTCCTTTTCTTATTCTTCCTCTACACAAAGGCACGAGATTTACTAAACTATCTGCCATTTGTTCAAAGAATGTTCCGATGCCTTGTTTTTCTCAGTGTGTGTGCGTCTGTGGACCTGTGGAGACATTCCATATCAAAACCATTCTGATGACGCTGCTGTTAGCACTTTAAAGCCTGAGAAATACCACTTTTAGGCAAAAAAAATTATTTTTCAAACACCTGTGATACTTTTGTCTTAGAATGTTCTCCTTTGAAAGTCAGGGAGCTGCAGTGAATGTAATTGAAGGGCATCAGTTGCTTGGGATGGTCTACCATTTTGGGGGGGCAGGGCAAGATCACAACTTTAGAGGCATTGACAGATTTGGGTGATTCACTTGCATTTGCCACTTGAATGGTAAGTGACTTAGCAAATTATCAACTGAGTCCATTTTGCCCACGAAATGGTGGAATGATTATAGCTATCTCATTGAGTTCTGGTGATATTTGAAGAAAATCGTGTTTGCAACTTGATGTGTCTTACAACCCCTTCACTCTCTTCCCATCCTTTGAATGGGAAATTGGACTGAGGGTTTAAAGTGGGTCAGGAGAGGGGAGTGTTCCTAGAAGTGTTAAAGTGGTTGAACAGGTTTGTTTGCTTGGGAAAGTTAGTTATAGTGCTCTGCATTCATGATCATTTTCATTCATTCACCAAACAGACCTTGAACTCTGGCCATGTGCCATGTGGGTCTAGTGTTCAGTTCGGTGTGCTCCTAAAGCTAATGTCATCATTGCTGTTTTCACAGTGAGTTTATTGGCTTTTTTGTTTGCATACAGTCATTATCAACTCATGGAAGCTCTTCAGATCTGACATCTTCATTTTATTTTCTCTTCAA